TCTGTACACGATCTATCCTTACGGAATCCTGCCTGTTGGTCACGAAGTTGGGCGTCTGGAATGTTGTCCGGTTCTGCTGCTTTGCCACTCTTGATTTGTCTGATGGCCATGCTGATTTCTTCAATTGTTGGTGGGTCAACATTGATTGGGAGGTCCGCGGGTGCTGCTTCGATGTTGGGTGGGTTCAGTGGAGCTGGTCGATTCAAGAGTTGTTTGAAGTGTTCTACCCACCTGTTTTGTTGCTCTTCAATGTTGGTGATTACTTCGCCTTCTTTGCTTTTCACTGGTCGTTCTGGTTTGCGGCGATTTCCAGAGAGTTTCTTTGTCGTGTCATACAATTGTCTCATGTTTCCTTCTCTTGCAGCCTTTTCCGCCGTCGTTGCTAAATCTTCCACATATTTACGTTTGTCGGTTCTGATGCTCCTCTTCACTTGCTTGTTTACTTCTGTGTATTCAGCTTGTGCCTTGGCTTTTTCTGCTCTTGTTCGACTGGTATTGATTGCTGCCTTCTTGTTCCTCCTTTCTTGAATCTTATCCAGTGTATCAACAGTGACCCATTCCTTGTGATGGTGCTTCTTGTGACCCAGGACCTCATGACATGTTGAAATGATTGCCTCTTTGATCCCCTTCCAGTTGTTCTCCACAGTAGTTCCTTCTCCATTGAGTAGATCATGAAAAGCCTGGAACTTGTTGCTGAGGACTATCTTGAATTTGTTGAGTTTGTTAGTATCCTGAAGAAAGGCCGTATTGAACTTTTGTGATATTGTCCGCTCCGTTATCCAGTGCTTCTTGAGTTTCAATTTCATCTTGGCGACCAGCAAGTGATGATCTGATGCTATATTAGCTCCTCTCTTGGTTCTCACGTCCTCTATAGTCCTCCTGAATGTTTTGTTGATGCAAATATGGTCGATTTGGTTTTGCGTGGCGTGATCCGGTGAAGTCCATGTGGATTTGTGTATGCGTTTATGTAGGAATATGGTGCCGCCTATGACCAGTTTATTGAAGGCACATAGGTTTGCAAATCACTCACCATTTTGGTTCCTTTCTCCCAATCCTTGTCGTCCCATGATGTCTTTATATCTATTGTTGTCCGTTCCGACCTTGGCATTGAAATCTCGCATGAGAATTGTCAGGTCCTTTGTTGGGCACTTCTCGACGATTGACTGCAGCCTATTGTAGAATTGATCTTTAGCGTCTTCATTATAGTCGTTGGTAGGCGCATAGCATTGGATGATGTTCATTGAAATGCCCTCTTTCTTTGATGATCCTTGGTCCATGAGATTCCCATCCTATAAGCGCATTTTGTGCTTGTTTGGACAGCATCAATGCAACTCCTTGTGTATGTGGTGCATTTTCTTCTTCATGGCCGGAGTATAACAGGAGCTCTCCTGTAGTTAGTCGTTGTCCAACATGTGTCCAATGTGTTTCACTGATCCCACGTACCTGTAGGTTGTATCTTCTTATTTCTGCAGCAATTTGGAAGGCTCTCCCGGTGTCCCACATTGTACGAACATTCCATGTACCTAAATAAATGGTCGCTCTGGTTGTCAGAAGGGGCATCGGCCTCGTAACTTCCGAAGGAATCCGGCTTTCATCATGAGGCGTCATAATTCTTCTAAATGAAGACCTTCTGACTCTCAGGGCAGAGTTTAAAAGGTTTGAATAATTTTTCTGGTTAGCGTTTTTTTAGCGAGTTAGATTTCTACGGGATGGGGACGCTAACCCCATGCCCAACCCTCCTTTATCCGGGCTTGGGACCGGCAGTAGCCCCCGGAGGGACTCCAGGCGGAGTTTAATTCAGAGGTGGTAATATATAAAAGAAAGATTGCAATAAGGATATAGTACAGGAAGAAAGAATTAGTTCGTAGAAAGAAAGATATGAAGCGATTATAATCTCTTAGTTTAAGGGAACACGGAGAGTGCATACACCGACGCCATTGTGATCGATTCTGAGCCATGTCACCAAGAGTCTCCAACCATCGGTTACGATAGTCACGCGGACCCCAAACAAGTAGTCTGCATCCACCAACATGGCTCACACCAAAAGTTAGTGACTTCAAGCACTGATGCCACGTTTTGGTTTGGCTGCCTCTAACTTTCTTCAAACCATCTCAAACACCGGTTAGCATTGCACGTCGTGGTAATCGGTGTTCAAGCATACGTAACACGTGGCCCAACCATCTCAGTCGATGAAAATTCACAACCTCATCAACTGATTTACCATCATTCCCTAATACCCTGCGTCTAACCTCACTATTACTTACCCCGTGATCCCAGCAGACGCCAGCAATATTTCTAAGGCATCTGTGGTCAAATACTAGTAGCTTACGGGTGTCTTCTACTCTTAAGGGCCATGTTTCGCTGCCGTAAATTAAAACAGAACGAACTGCCGCGCAGTATACTCGTCCTTTTATTGATAGACGGATATCTCGCCTTCGCCAAAAGTGACGTAAGTTGGCAAAAGCCAAACGAGCTTTTCGAATCCGTGCTGAGATTTCGTCAGACACCAACCCATTAGGGCTGATCAGACTTCCAAGATAAGTGAAGTTGTCAACGCGTTCAACTACTTCACTCCCTATCCTTAGTTCAGGTGTTGACACAGACCAGTCCTGAAGCAACAACTTGCATTTAGAGGGAGAGAAGCGCATTCCAAACATTCTGGCATTGTTGCTTAGTGCTACCAGAAGACTCTGTATTTTGTCAGCGTCTTCACCAAACAGGACTATCTCATCTGCGTATTCTAAGTCGATAAGTGGACCTCCTGGGTGGAGATCAATACCCGAGAATTCAGTCGACGAGAGTGTTATTTCCATCAATAGGTCTATGATGAAGTTAAACAAAAATGGAGAAAGTGGACAGCCTTGACGGACACCACTTGAGGTTGCAAAAGCAGATGACAGTTCGCCATAAGCTCTGACTCGACTAGTAGTGTTCGAGTAAAGAGCCTTCACAAGGCTTATGTACTTCTGAGGTACGCCTTTCAATGATAGACACTGCCACAGAATCTCGCGGTCTACGGAGTCAAATGCTGCTTTTAAGTCAAGAAAGACCACCATTCTCGGATGCCGATAAGTATGCCTATGTTCTAGAACCTGACGAATGGTGAATATGTGGTCGATGCAGCCACGACCAGGTCTGAAGCCAGCTTGGTTCTCTCGTGTTTGCAGTTCACGAGTCTTAGTTAGGCGTCTGATAATTATCGAGGCTAGTATTTTAGATACTATATTTGTTAAACTAATCCCTTTGTGGTTGTCACAGGATGATTTTGATCCTTTCTTATATATTGGGACGATAAGTGATTGCGACCAGTCAGATGGGATAACGTCTGACTCCCAGATCTTAGCTAAAATATTAGTCGACCTAATCGCTAAAATTGGACCACCATCCTTAAAAACCTCTGAAGTCAATCCATCTGGACCAACTGCCCTTCCTCGTTTCAGATTAGCTATAGCCTTTTGAACTTCAGCTAGAGTTGGGGGATCTACTTCAATGTTCCATTCACACTGTCTGGGAATGGAGGGTATTTGTAGAGTAGCTGAAGGCCATTTGGACTGTTCTCTGAAATGTTCCGCCCATCGTTCTAAACGTCTGGACTGGGAGCAGATGAGGGTGTCCTCTTTTTCCGAAATAGTTTGACCTACACTTGACTTATTAATTCCAGTTTCTTTTATTAGTCTTTAGAACTGTCTTGTGTTCCCTATAGCCGCCACCTTTTCCATCTCTTTTGCTTTCGTTGCCCACCACTCCTCACGGCTGTTCCTTAGACTTTTGCTTAACCTAGATCTGATTTGTTGTCGCTCTTCATCGTGTTCAGAACCTGATGGGATGAGTTCGCGAGAATCCATCAGTGCAATAGACCTTGAAGAAATCCGTTGGTTCTTTGTAACCCTGTGGCGGGGGTGTTGTTTACGAAATTGAGAGGACGCAAAGCGAATGTCCGGCGCTTTAACCGGATTCCAAATCAATGGTGCACATGGGCTCCAGTATCCTGCGGGAACAAATGGCGTATGAACCAATCGTCGGTCACCGGCTTCCATGGGGCTGCATCTCCTTACGATGCTCCACTGCCTTGTGGGTTAGACCTTTAGGTCGAGGGCTCGGGGTGTGGTCCCCCAAGAAAACCACCTGCCTCGGTCTGGGCACCCGAGCAGTATCCCAGCCCTCACACAAATCGAATGATTTATGTGGTGCATATCTATTTGGTGCCTCCTTGTACCAATGTTTATGTTTAAATAAATAAATAACCCTGTGGCTTAAATCACTGATAGATGTCACTGCTGTTTGTATAGCTTTCCAAGCAACATCTGGGTCAGCCTCGTTTTCAGAACTACCTATGTGTGACAGTTGTTCCTGGAACCTACTTTTGGTTTTCTCGTTACTCAATTCAGTCCTAATGGATCCTTTTTGTGTGGCTTTTTTGCGTCCACTGAGACGCGAGCAGATGCGTGCCCGTAATAGGGCATGGTCGGAGTTCAAGCAGGTACTCCAGAATGAGCGACAATCTTCTACCGACCCTCCCCAACGATGACTGATGGAAATATGGTCTATTTGAGTCCATCATTGGTTTGGTGTAGGGGGTCGCCATGTTAGACGATGTCTATCCTTATGCCTAAAATTTGTGTTTGCTAAAAATAAACGATTGTCTGAGCACAGTTGCAGCAGACGATCGCCATTATCTGTTCGCTGTGTCGGAATACTAAAATACCCACCTAAATGCCTTTCTGTTTGGTTTAAACTACCTATCTGGGCATTAAAGTCACCTGCTACGAGTACTATGTCTGAACGTTTAGCTTTCTGTAAAATTCATCTTTCACTTCATCTGAGCTTCAGTCGGTTGGAGCGTAGACAGAAACGACAAAAAGGCAACGACGTGTGTCGGGAGTGTATTGTACGGCCCTCTGGCTAGTTTTCGAATTACACCGTTTTGTAAAAGTTATTTTCTTTAGTTTTATAATTAACTGATGGAAATGTTCCCATTTTATTCATTCTTCGATCATTAGTTTAGAGATGGTGTCTTACTTATCCTATTAATGGGTCTTATTGATGGCTATTTTGTACCATTTCATGCATATCATCCAACACCAACAACAGAAGAATTGTGTACATCAAATGTTAAACTAGCCTTTGAACTTATTCAAGCAGCTGGTATGGTTGAACCTCCAGCAAAACCTGAAGAAATTGTTGCAGGCGATAGCAGTGCTGTATTACGCGTGTTGTATGGCATCTACTCATATTGTGCACATATGGAGGATGAACAACGTCGGTATGAAATAAATAATATTCGAGAACAAGGTGAGATGGATGGATATTACGGTAATAACCAGGAACCTTCTGTACAACATGGTGTAATTAATTTATCGTAAAGTATACGTAACTGTGATATGTCTCTGCTGTTTTCTGTGATGCTAACATTTTAAAAATTACCGTTGAATAATATGCGTTACCACTGGAGTGACTTACTTTTAATAAATAACAGGTTATCGTTTGATATTCTTTAGTTACTTTCTTTTTAGAGATGATAAACAATGAAATGAATTTGTATGTAAGTACTTCATTATATTATTTCTCTCTCTCCTCTGCGAATATACGCTCTTCAGCCTGACATTTTTTACACCATTAAACGTTGTGATATCAGTTTTGTAGTTTTCTATATTATTTTTTTGAGGTTAATTGTTTTACTTTCCTAAATATCGATGTTAGTGTGAATTTCTAGGTACGATAATAAAAGCAATAACTTTGAAAAGATTCGTTTATGATTATGTTCCTTTTAGTTAACTGGTAGTGTAGTTTATCACTTTTCTCCGCGCTATGTAGTTTCGTCGTATATTGTATAATTTTTCTGCGCCCGTGGGTTTTATCTCACTGAATGTGTTCATTACTACTAAATAGAATGGGTTTTTGTCTTTTTAGACGTTTATTTCTTGCTCTTATTACAACGTTTATGTTATATACCATTTCATTGGACAAATATATAAAATAATCATGCCTACATGTATACAAACTGAACATCTTAAAGAGATCAACTTTAGACAACAGTCATCTGTTGACATCGAAAAAGATTTGTCTTATAAAGAAAAAATTGAAAGTCCAACATCAGAGAGTGATTTGGATTTCACAATAAGTACTTCAACAACATTCTGTTCTTCAGCAGAAGTTTGGAAGCTTAGAAGATACTTTGATAGATGTTTTGTACAAGGCTTTAATCCAGCATCCGTAAAAATAGTTTGTTCACATACAAGTTCTATTCATAATCCAATTTATGATTCAAGTTACACTTAATATCTTTTTCACACAACATATTTTCACATGGGCTTCTGATTATCAATGCGACAGATGCCTATTTCATCCTAGCTTGAAGCCCCGTAAGATTGTGCACTACATTCGCTTTTCGTGAAAACAATTAGGCAGCCATGTAAGTGATGCTCACCCCGAGGCAGCATGGAGTGATATTAGAAAAGCTGTGGAAACAACAGTGGCATCTGCTTAACTTCGGAACTACTTCAGTGTTTCCAACATGCGCGGGTAGTGTTTTCACGATAATTTTGACCAGATTCTTGTAATGCAAACATAGTTTACCTTCCAAGAAAACACCCTACACTAGTAATGCAGTACAGATCGGAACACTGAACAGAACACTTGTTTTTTCTACAATCACTTGTGAATTATCAAATAACATGATACAAAGAAATAATAACAACAGCAATAACAATAAGCTCAGCATTGAAATATACAATATGAGGAATTAACAAATAACAACAAAAAATACGTATATGAGACTCACCGAATAACAAAACTGTCATTTTGGCTTTAAATATGCAGACTTTGTAGACAAATATGATGCATGTTCCAAATGTGGCTGCTGCTCATCAACCAACTTTGTTCAAGCTAATTTCCTTTAAATCTGATCCCAATAAATAATAATATCATCCCGTTAATTTAATCCAGGCTAAATCTTATAGTAGAATTATCAATTCACTCAAGATGATTATTTAAAAGCCTGAACAACATCAGTTAGTTATAGATATAGTTTATTATTAAACATCAGCAAAATACAATCCACACGGAGAAACCAAATGAGTAGGACTGTTAAAAATCCATATATATTAATGAGTGTTAATCCAATATGGGTAAATTATTGATTAACTGTGTCTTACAACCAATGGGAGAATAGATTGAAGGTTGATGTGCAGACACGCGCACAATCAGACTCACACAGAAGTTTACCTAGCGGATTAAGTGTCTAAATAACAATGGGTAGACAAATAATACCATAGTTGAATGGGCTTACTGAAACTATACGCAATCTACAAAGACACACTCGCATATGCGTACACACTATCAACATGGAATCAGATCACATACTAACAACACCTGATCCAAAACATCTCCCTCTCAATCACTCACTAACTCACTCATCCATTCACTGTCTCACTTAATCACTCATCACCATGCATCACAGTAGTTCCATACTGTGAGACCATGTTGTCTGTGAATGGGACTAGGTAAGCCACTGTCACTGGTCGGTGTTGTGCATTGCACTAAGTGTTCAAGTGACACGGAACGCTGTGAGAATATGCACAGAGTCACCTAGTGGTTATGGTGTGACTCGAGTGACTGTCAACAGCTATGATGTGAGTGGGACTCAATCCGACGCCCATTAACACTGCAGCACAGATCCAATGCCTTACACCACTCAACCACTACAAAAGTGATAGTAAACGCACAAAACTAATTCATCAGTCTCAACATTTTTTTCACTTTAAACTAAATTTGTCCCACTCATGCATCTTCGTCCTACATCTATTTACACTTGTTTTTTCTGCTGACCCTGCTCACGCTGATTTATCACCCGTCGTCTCTTGTTAAAGGATTCGAGGTCGCGGAATGTTATCCACGTTTAGTTGATGCTACCCTCGAAACTGCATGATGTAACTTTTAAGGGTTGAGTACTGAACCAATTTCGACAACAGATTTCCTTAGCTAGTACCTTAGAATAATTCCGCCTGTAGCTCTTCTAAAGTTACTGCCGGTGCCAAGCCCGGGAAAAGGAGCAGGGTTGGGCATGGAGTTAGCGACCCCATCCCGTAGAAAACGAACTCACTAAAAAACGCTAACCGGAAAAATAATTCAAACCGTTTATCCTCTGCCCTGGGAGTTAGAAGGTTTTCATTTAGAAGAGTTATGACGCTTCATAGTGAAAGCCGAGCTCCTTCGGAAGCCACGAGGCCGATGCCCCTTCTAACAACCAGAGCAACAATTTTTATAGATACATGGAACGTCCGAACAATGTGGGAGACCAGGAAGACTAGTCAAATTCCAACGGAAATGAGGAGATACAATTTGGCAGTACTGGGAACCAGCGAAACGTACTGGACCCAAGCTGGACAACAAAGGCTAAATACGGAAGAGATGCTGCTATACTCCGGCCACGAAGAAGAAAATGCTCCACACACTCAGGGAGTCGCTCTAATGCGGTCCAAAGTAGCACGAAATGCACTTGTAGAATGGGAATCTCACGGATCCGGAATCATCAAAGCATCATTCAAAACAAAAAAGGAGGGGATCTTAATGAATGTTATCCAATGTTATGCACCCACCAATTATTGCAATGACGACAATAAAGATCAGTTCCATGAGAATCAGCAATCAATCATAGCGAAGAGCCCAAGAGAGGACCTCACCATTCTGATGGGAGATCTAAACGCCAAAGTCGGAATAGACATTACCGGATATGAAGGTATCATGGGACGACATAGACTGGGAGAGAGAAACGAAAATGAGGAAATGTTTAAAACTCTATGTGCATTCAAAAATTGGTTATAGGAGACACAGTATTTCCACACGAGGGTATACACAAAGCTACATGGATCTCACCGGACCACACTACAGAGAACCAAATAGATCATATTTGCATCAACAAAAAATTCCGAAGGACAATGGAAGATGTGAGAACCAGGAGAGGTGCTGACGTAGCTTCAGATCACCACCTAGTTGTAGACATTTAAAACTAAAGCTAAAAAAGAACTGGACAAACAGCAATACAAAGGTTCAATACAGCCTTCCTTCGAGATACTGACAAACTCAATGAATTCAAGATAGCTCTCAACAACAGGTTCCAAGCCCTACAAGATCTACTGAAGGAAGAAGAAACTACTATGGAGGACAACTGGAAAGGCATCAAAGAAGCATTGACTTCAATATGTCAAGAAGTTCTGGGCCTAAAGAAACACCATCATAAGGAATGGATCTCTATAGAAACATTGGACAAGATCAAAGAAAGGAAGAACAAGAAGTCAGCAATAAACAACAGCCGAACACGAGCAGAGAAAGTCCAAGCACAAGCTGAATACATGGAAGCAAACAAGCAAGTGAAGAAAAGCATTAGAGCCGACAAGAAGCTATACGTGGAAGAACTAGCAACGACGGCGAAAAACGCTGGCAGGGAAGGAAATATGAAACCATTTTACGATACAACGAAGAAACTAGCGGGGAAATACAGTAGACCAGAAAGATCGGTCAAGGACAAAGAAGGCAAGCCAATCACTGAAATTCAGCAACAGCGGAACAGATGGGTAGATTACTTCGAGGAACTCCTGAATAAGCCGGCTCCAATGAATCCCTCGGACATCGAAGCAGCACACACAGATCTTCCCATAGATGTCAATCCACCAACGACGGAAGAATCAGAATGGCCACCAGAAAAATCAAGAGCTGGAAAGCAACAGGACCCGACAATATACCAGCTGAAGCACTGAAGTCAGACATAGAATTAACTACAAACATGCTTCACCTTTTATTCAAAATGATTTGGGAGGAGGAACAAGTGCCGATGGACTGGAAAGAAGGGCACCTCGTCAAGATTCCAAAGAAAGGAGATCTGAGCAAATGTGAAAACTACAGAGGCATTACACTACTGTCAATACCAGGGAAAGTCTTCAACAGGGTGTTGTTGAACCGGATGAAGGATGCAGTAGACGCCCAACTTCGAGATCAACAAGCTGGATTCCGTAAGGATCGGTCGCGCACAGACCTAATTGCAACACTACTCATCATCGTCGAACATTCAGTTGAGTGGAACTCGTCACTATACATCAACTTCATTGATTATGAAAAGGCGTTTGATAGTGTAGACAGGAGGACATTATGGGAACTTCTTCCACACTACGGAGTTCCTGAGAAGATTGTCAACATTATCCGGAACTCATACGACGGACTGCAGTGCCAAGTCGTGCATGATGGACAGATGACATGCATTCCAAATAAGGACCGGAGTCAGATAAGGCTGTCAACTGTCTCCGTTCCTCTTTCTTCTGGTAGTCGACTGGATTATGAAGACCTCTATATCTGAGGGTAAACACGGCATACAATGCACAACTCATGATTAATTAGGTGATTTGGAATTCGCAGATGACACAGCCATCCTATCAAATACACACGAACAAATGCAGATAAAGACAGCCAGTGTAGCAGCAGTCTCTGCATCAGTAGACCTCAACAAACACAAGGAGAAAACCAACGTCCTCAAATTCAAAGCGGAGAACAGCAATCCAATCAATCTTGATGGCGAAACTCTGGAAGATTAAGAATCACTCACATACCTAGGAAGCATCATCGATGAACAAGGAGGATCAGATGCAGACGTAAAGACGAGGATTTGCAAAGCAATGGTCGCATTCCTACAATTGAAGAACATATGGGACTCAAAACAACTTTCAACCAATATCAAAGTCACAATCTCCAATACGAACGTCAAGACAGTTCTACTGTATGGAGCTGAAACTTGGAGAACTACAACAACCACAATCAAGAAAGTACAAGTATTTATAAATAGCTGTCTACGCAAGATACTCAACATCCATTGGCCAGATACCACCAGCAATAGCCTTCTGTGGGAGAGAAAAAACCAACTTCCAGCTGAAGAAGAAATTAGGAAAAGACGATGGAAATGGATAGGACATACATTACGCAAATCGTCAAACTGCATCACGAGGCAAGCCCTAACTTGGAATCCTGAAGGGAAGCGGAAAAGAGGAAGGCCAAAGAAGCAGATATGAAAACGATGAATTACAACTGGACGGAGCTAGAAAGGATTGTTCAGGACAGGGTTGGATGGAGAATGCTGGTGAGCGGTCTATGCTCCTTCACGAGGAGTAACAGGCGTAAGTAAGTAAGGACCTTAGAATATCGCGTCGTCTTTGTATGCTTCGTCACCGAGACGCGTATAGAGGATCTGAGTAGTTTCCGTTATTTGACCTCACCATATCAAGATAAAGCATCTGGATTCATGCTTAGAGTTTCTAGAAGCCCTTGTGCTACTCCACATTGTCTTGCTGTTGTAGGTATAGCATTAAGTCCTTGGGCAGAACTAGCTATCTTAGACTGGATCACAGTAGACAGTCGTCTGTGCGCTGTCCAACTAAACGGAACAATAAGGACTCGGAAAGATAGGGACACTCGTCGTTGCCTCTTCGTCATCTCTGCCTATTCTCCCACTGACTGCAGCTCAGATGATGTAAAAGATGAGTTTTGCAGAAAGCTTTCTGGCCTTCTCCAAAAAGTTAGGCGCTGTGATGTAGTAATAGTGGCTCGTGACTTTAATGCCCAATTAGCTGAACTAAAAGAAATGGAGAGACACCTGGGTGGATCTTATGGTGTTACGGCACAGAGAACAGATAACGGCGACCGTATGTTGCAGCTATGCTCAGATAACCACTTGTTTCTTGCAAATACTAACTTTAAACATAAGGAAAAACATCTTTTGACACGGCAACCCCCGAATTCATCCCAACGTTGGACCGAACTAAATCCCATCGCTATCAGCCATCGATGGAGGGGCTCAATAGAAGACTGACGCTTGCATTCACATGCTCTAGTGCGAGCACATATTTGTATGCGTCTTACTGGACGTAGGAAAGATGCTGCAAGAAAGCCTGTTAGGGTTCTACTTAGTGATAGTCAAGCTAAGAATATATTTCAGGAACAACCAGGAATACAATTGGGCAGCTATGTAAGTGATGCTCACCCCGAGGCAGAGAGGAATGACATCAGAAAAGCTGTGAAAACAGTGGTGGTATATGCTAGTAAGGTAAGCCATGTTTAGGGAGAAACACTGGATCTCAGCAGGATCTACCGCACTGATAGATGCTCGAAAACTCATCCCACCTGGCTCTGAACATGACAAAGAGCGGATTCAGCTTAAGCGCAGGCTGGTGATAAACCTACGCAATGATCGGGAACAGCATCCGTAAAAATATTTTGTACACATACAAGTTCTATTCCCAATCCAATTCATGATTTAAGTTACAATAAATATTTTCTTCGCATAACATATTTTTACATGGGCTTCTGATTATTAATGCAACAGATGTATATTTCATCCTAGCTTGAAACTCCGTAAGATTGTACAATGCATTCGTCTTTCGTGATGTAAATCAGGAATTTTGCGAGGAAATTATGACTGTTAAGCAACTATTTTACAATGTCTGGTACCTGAGTATACAAATCAGTAATCCAGAGATTACAACAACAGCCAGTAAGCAGCCAAACGAACGTACAACACAAAATAAGTGGTTAAAGCGAAAGCTACATAGTTAGGATATAAATGAGGCAAAAGTGAAACAACCAATGATAAGGCAGACTACACATAGTAAGAAGTAGTGTTTCAATAATAACGATGACTCATCGTCGTAGTCAAATGCAGCAAAGAACTTGACGCAAGTATGTCAGTCCAAGTTGTCATACCACATTAGCCCAGCGAGATAAAATTATCAAAACACATCCCATAGTCATAAAAGTAGTAACAGTATCAGTAGTAATGTGGTGTGTACTACAGATGTCGACAGATATAAGTAGTATGTATCAACAGTCGAAAATGAAATACCCGGAGGCAGAAAGTTGAGATTAAAGAAAAGAAAACGAGAACAAACAATGATTGGTATGGAAACGAAAGAACAATGAAGTCTGAGACGATAGACTGATATTTGCAAAAGGAACAGTCATTAATTGACATTATTTAAATTATATATTTACACTATGGTTCTATGTTGTTCTGTAATTTTGTGTTCAGATACATTCGATTATCCTCACTTGTGTTCTCGTTCATTACAATAGTAACTCCTATCAATATAAAGATATATATCAATTAAAGGTGAAAGATTGAATGACAATGAGGTAGAAGATAAAACTTGTAAATACACCTTATGCACACACAAAATTAGGTTGAATAGGTAAAGAAGATGAAACAAATAATGTATTTGAGATTTAGAGAAAGTAACTCACTGATTGATTTTGAGTCATATCACTTAAAAATCATTTATCCCTCACATATCATACTGTATGAGTACATATATCGACTTAGCTTGGAATAGTTAATGAAGAGAGATCTAATTTATTTTTAAGAGGACTATGTACATATAGAGCAAGAATAAACAATTGAACAGGATATACATGAACTCATTTTATTTCATTTCATTCTCATCGACTACTTACAACTTGTAATACAAATATATATATATAATCGAATAGTAAAAAACATTAACATGAATAAGTAGAAAAATAAGACTAGTTTTTTTTTCATCTGTTCATCGTAACACAAAATAATTCTGTTTGACGTTTATATTCAGTTAGTGAACGCTGTTGACTAACTAAGAATTGGATAACAGATGGAGATCTAAGAAGAGCTGACTTTTTAGCATCTAATACAGCATGAATCAATTTGCGATAGTTTGGTGATCCAGATTCTGGTCCTATAGAACCAGCTGAACTTGAAGATGATAAAGGACCAGAATTTGTTGAAGACTATAAAACAAAAATAAAAACATCAAACAAAATTATTTAAATCTTTTACTATAACCATATCTTTCATCTCATTACAATAATCATATGTCATATTTGATTAGCCGGAAAATATTATGACACTCCATGCGTAACAAGTAACTTTTCTATCAAACTGAGATAATAGCACAACTTCCATTGTAAAAGTTGTGGTTTCTGTCAGGTTGAATACCTGTAGTGTTCGAACATCATCCACGCTAATAACGTAAAAAAAACCTACTCAGTAAGTCACTGTCTCACCTTTTTTACACCTTAAATTCTGGTCTAGCAGGGATTTCGTGCACGATTATAAGGATATAGGTAACATACAATTCAACCAACCCAGTAGATGAAGTTCGGAAACCCTATTAGAATTGTATGCTTAACTTTGAAACTACTTCAGTGGTTCCAACATGCGCAGGTAGTGATTTCACAATAATTTTGACCAGATTCTTGTAATGCAAACATAGTTTACCTTCCAAGAAAACACCCTACACTAGTAATGCAGTACAGATCAAAACACTGAACAGCACACCTGTTTTTTTTGTTTTTTACAAGCACTTGTGGGAAAAATGAATCAACTTGATGAAAATGAAATCGATAACAAGATTTCACCACCTATGAAATAACCAAAGTTGCACAGACTTTTAACACAAGTGACGAAAACTACACACACACTCAACTTTACTGGCGACTGTCGACCTAACCACTGAGATAAACAAGTTGCAAGCGAGTATTCTGAGTTTGGATGTATAAGATATCCCCCAGATATTTTCGGATTACCATGTAGACCGTACGGAAGAATTAAATTTCTGTTTAACATGACTATATTATCTGCATGATATCGGTTTTCCAGTAGTGTACCCACAACAAACGTCAATGAAGTTGGGAACGCTACAGAATTTTTAAAACATTGTGAAACAGTTGTCAAAATAATAATATGGACTATACTATTGTGTCATTAAAAAGACTATGAATGTGGTAAATAAACATTTTCCGTTGAATCTGAATACAGTACATTTTTAATATAAAATGAATATTTAATTATTAATGAAAAAGTATTACGATAGTTGTGGTTATAGTTTTGATGAATCATTCCGGTTAAAAATTAGGGGAAATACTGAAAGAATTTATGTTGCTTAATAGAAGAAGATTGGTGAAGATTACAGATTGTTTCTAATCATAATATAATATTTAGTAAACCAGATAACACTACATCAATCAATCATGATGAAAAGTTGATTTGCAGAGAAGTTGAAAAGATGTAAGAGTAAGGTGTATTTCTGAAGAGTATTGATATGATAGGGAAGGTCTTATATACGTTGTAGAGTTAAACACCTTCAAAATGGATTTACTCTACTCGCCTATAGTATTGAATTATACTTATTTTTCTGGCAATACTTTTTACATCAACGTGTTATTTTATTTTAAAAAATATCTCTTCTAGTGGGCAGTTGTCTTGCTTTTTGATATCACCTTATTGAAGAGCTACATCAATATTTCGGTCACAGGAGTATCTATCACCTGGGTACATTTCATTTACTATTCAGGATTTTACCTATGCACCACTCAAAATGAATTACTGAAACATAACAAGTAAAAGTCACCGTACTATTCTCGTGAACACAATCACCACATATGTTTATGAATAATAGTTTTAAAACAATTAGTCCTTTTGATAAATTTCGATAATGCAATGAGAGGATAAACTTCGTCTTCGCATTGTATTATCGAAATAATAATTTTAATAGGGATCCAAAAATGAAAATGGGGTTGCTTAGTACTGTAGGAAACTTTCGAAACAACAAAATGACTGAACTGACGCGCAACCCAGGACAGCAAGGCAACACTTTATATCAACGAAATTCGAAAGTGTGAAGTAAGCATAAAAGTAACTATAAGGACATAGAACATTATGGTGCAAGAAAGCGCTATTAATGAGAAATTATTAATGTGGAGCAAAAATAAAATACTTGCATTTGCGATGGGACCATCGGACATAAGCTTCTCAGTGCGGGCTTTAACAAGTTCATTAAATTCCTGGCGTTTGCGATTTGCCATCTCATCAGACGAAATCGATTTCCTGCCACGGACGCCTGACGATTTTGTATGTGTTTTTATACTACTAGTAGAAGTTTTGGAATTCCTAGTTGAGGCAGCAACTCGTTGTAACTTTGAACCATTTTCAGACTCCGCTGTACTAGTTGATAAACATGAAGGAAATTCTACTCCAGTGCTGGATAAATGAATGGAGGTAGTGGGATTCGGAAATGAAAAATCCTGAGGAATATTCATGCCTCCCAAATTATTGAAAGTATGGGATCCAGGATAAAATCCAGACTGTTGTAATGCAAAGCTGGCATAATAAGCTCTGCTTGTGTCTGCAGAAGAGAAATATGGATTCGAACCATTGGGATTAGCAGTCAGGTTGAGTGGACGACTCATCTGTAAATAAGAAAGAACGAATTGTGTAATACAAACGATTTAGCTCGTCAATCAGATGGATGGTTTTCACAACAGCTGATATTAATCGCAAAACATATTATTTCAGATTAGAGGTAAGAATTAAATGTGATTAGAATTTAAAGCTCTATAAATCTAGTAAATGAGGGTAGAACCGAAAGCATAACTTGATTACTTGGTTATTTAAACTACACAAATTCAAAAGCAAACCGATGGCACTAGAAATATGTATGATAATGTTGATCGTCTCAGAATCCCTCCTAGGTCTATAAGAGAATATAGTTAAGAGACATCATCCTTAAACCGAAACAGTATGACATTACCCTGGACATGAAAATTACTGTAGCTAGCTTTAAATCACTTAAATATACCATTCCGATAAAGTCAACTGACTAACTTACACCTGTTACTGTTCGTAAAATAGCAAAGACCACCCATCAGGATTCTCAATCCGGCTCTGTCCTGGGCAATTCCAAGTTAACGCTTGCATCGTGATGCAGTTTAATGAATTCCGCAATGTAAGTCATATCCACCCCTATCGTTTTTCTCCTAATTTCCTCTTCAAATAGAAGCTGGCTTGTTTTCTCCCACACTAGGCTGTTGCTGATGGTATCGGGCCAACGGACATTCAATATCTTGTACATAATATTGCTTATAAATACTTGTACATTTTTGATGACAGTTGTAGTAGTTCTCCACGTTTCAGCTCCTTACGATAGAACTGTCTTTACGTTCGTATAGAAGATTTTTTGGTCCGATGAGATCCATGTAGCTTTGTGTATACCCTCGTGTGGAAATACTGTGTCTCCTATAACCAATTTTTGAATGCACATAGAGTTTTAAACATTTCCTCATTTTCGTTTCTCTCTCCTAGTCTATGTCGTCCCATGATACCTTCATATCCGATAATGTCTATTCCGACTTTGGCGTTTAGATCTCCCATCAGAATGGTGAGGTCCTCTCTTGGGCACTTCGCTATGATTGATTGCTGATTCTCATGGAACTGATCTTTATTGTCGTCATTGCAATAATTGGTGGGTGCATAATATTGGATAGCATTCATTGTAATTCCCTCCTTTTTTGTTTTGAATGATGCTTTGATGATTCCGGATCCGTGAGATTCCCATTCTACAAGTGCATTTCGTGCTACTTTGGACCGCATTAGAGCGACTCCCTGAGTGTGTGGAGCATTTTCTTCTTCGTGGCCGGAGTATAGCAGCATCTCTTCCGTATTTAGCCTTTGTTGTCCAGCTTGGGTCCAGTACGTTTCGCTGATTCCCAGTACTGCCAAATTGTATCTCCTCATTTCCGTTGGAATTTGACTGGTCTTCCTGGTCTCCGACATTGTTCGGACGTTCCATGTACCTATAAAAATTGTTGCTCTGGTTGTTAGAAGGAGCGTCTGCCTCGTGACTTCCGAAGGAACTCAGCTTTCACTATGAAGCGTCATAATTCATCTAAATGAAGACCTTCTAACCCCCAGGACAGAGGTAAAATGGTTTGAATTGTTTTTTAGTGAGTTCGTTTTCTACGGGATGGGGTCGCTAACCTTATGCCCAATCCAAATGGTCTAACATATGTGTGCGTTAGCACAATCTTTTATTACCAAATCAACAATACAAGACGAAACTAACATGAATAGTAAGAGTCGAAGTAATACCGATGTGAATGATAATGAGAAAAACTAACATTGTACAGAATAGCTTATAAAGGTATGAATTCCAACAATAACAAGCACGAAATAATATTTACGGTCAAAATGTATGAATGGATGCATCTGCACCAAAACGACCGATCCTGAGTCATTTCAACCATCGTATCTAGTCACTGATCGCGGTTATCGCGTGGAAACAGCTCAGTCCATCAGTTAATGACGATACGTAATATGTTCGGCAATCACCAGTTGTCCTTAAACATATACCTGCTCCACCCAATGTTCCTCAACGAAGTGAGCGACAGTTAGTCAAATATCTCAGACATATTAGTCGGTTAAGACATATAATTTCACCAAAAGTCTTGTCATCTGCTTAACTTTGGAATTACCCAATTAGTTGTTTTACAGTACAGGATTAGTGCTTCGAAGACACCTATGATCAAAGACATGCGTCCTACAGATGGCTCCTACTTTTATGAACCATGTTTGCCATTAAGTAATACAAAGCAAACTGTTACGCAGTATAGTCACCTTTTAATAGCCAGACGAAAAAACCGCTCATATCACAAAAAAACGTAAATTGGTAATAACTAAGTGATCTTTCTGAATTCGAGAAATTTTACAAGCCCAGTCAATTCAGTCCCTAAAGGCAGTCTACGTGTTGAAAGACCAGCCTTAAGGAAAGCTGCTACAGTTAGGCATAACTTCTTGTTGTTTTTAGCTAGGGTGTCATTTGTAACGCGTAGTTTTCATTTGTGGAGCACACTTTACAGATAACCTGTTACTGGTTAGTGTCGATCTATTATGATGTAATTACAGTAGCTTTGTTATGTCAGATACTGCATATTGTAGAAATCACCATATACAAACCAAGTTACACGAATTCAAGTGCAAACATTTTCGTATTGAAGTCCTGCTCTGCGATTTCGTTGCATCATCCTAGTGACCACCAATCCCTAGCCTTCTTAGATGACTTCAGAAACAACAATACCCTATAATTTCCTCATTAATCAAACCGGAATACAACAATTTATAAAAAGTTATACTTACAACACCTGGATTGAACTGTTGTGTGTACCCAGCCGCTGCAGCTGCAGCGGCAACAGCTGCTACAGCTGCAGGATGGAATAATGGAGGATAATTCGTAGGATTTTGACTGTTTTGATGATATGAACTGTTAATCTGATTGGTATTGGTCAGGTAACTACCACTAAAACTTGCTGATGGCAGTGACTGATGTAAGTTACGAGATTCTTCTAGAGTCATTTAAGAATCTAAAACGAGAGACGAAAAGTGAGCATATATTTATTGATAGTTATGAAGTCATATGTTTATTTTAAGAAGTAATTCTTCAATGACATTTAGGAAGGGTCAATAAGCTTTTAATATACTCTGAAACAATACTACCAATCTACGGATGTAATGCACGGAAACCATGGGCTCCTTTAAGAGGGAAAAGGGTAGTCTGAAGCGAGGATTGTGAAAATTACCGATACAATAATAAGCCTATTTAGATCATAGCAATTCCAGAATATATATATATATATATATATATATATATATATATATATATATATAAACAATATTGTACAGTATTAACTTCAAAACTTGAATCTATATGTCCTTTACTACAATATAGATTATGCGACATTATCACCTGTTAGACTATACAGATCCACGTATTCTAATCAGATATATATAATACTTCTCATTGAATATTTCCTTAGACAAAAGATTACTCATGGATCAAAAATAAATAACCTTGCATAGTTGCTTTCAAATTAATCCTTATCCCTTCTTTTTGGTGAACAATTTCGTCCAAACGTACATCATAATTTTGTTATATCGACGTAATATTACAGTTAAACGGTTGTGTAGGTGTATTTACGAGAAATGGAAATAAAATTAAAACGGATCACGGGATAATATACACCTAGCAAATCTATCAAATTAAAAATAATTACTTGTAATAGTTCTCGTAGTGTCTGTCATTTCCGCTTAGCTTTCATAGGTTAGCAGATTTATAACTGTCTGGTTCAAAAAAACACACAACGTCCTCACTTTCTAAAGGACAGAGGCAGGTAGAACTTCATATAAAGCACAGTCCGCTAAGCTTTTTAATAACGCAAAAATACAACTCTTCAAACAAAAACACCACGTACCTTACCGATTTTCGACCACATGTGTTTCAAAGAATTATTTACGTTTGTTGGGACCCCTAGTGGAGTATTATTTTATTTTAACACAGATATTGGTACAAGGAGGCACCAAATACATGCGCCACACAAATCTCATTTGATATGTGTGAGGGCTGTAATACCGCCCGGGTGCCCAAACCGAAGCAGACTAGTGGAGTATTAATGGTTTTAGACAAAGAGCCAGAGGTAAAGGTAGCAAATCGACTGATGTTGCCCCCAAATGCCCTGGTATGGCCGAGAGTGAGGAGAGTCCACTTTCTCTCTCCAAATGCTATCACATGGCCACGCGTATACAGCCTCTGCCAGGGAAGTCCTACTCACTGCCTTCTCGTGGCGAGGGTGTTGTTTACGAAAGTGAGGACGAAAAGCGAATGTCTGGCGCTTTAACCGGATCTCAAACCAATGGTGTACATGGGCTCCAGTATCCTGCGAGAACAAATGGCGTATGAACCAATTTTTGGCCACCGGCTACCATGGGATCGCATCTCCTCACGATGCTCCACTGCCTTGTGCGTCAGATCTTTAGGTTAAAGGCTCGGGATGTGGCGCCCTAAGAAAACCACCTGCTACGGTCTGGGCACTCGGGCAGTATCATAGCCTACACAAATATAATGATAATGAAAATGTGTGACGCATACATATTCGGCGCCCTCTTGTAATAATATTTATGTGTTCAAATAAAATATAAAATAAAATCGACTGATGTAGTATCAAACTTTCAATATCTCGACCATTTAAGACATCTGATTCACATTTACAGGTAGCCCCTACCACTACGTGTTATTCTAGTTGTTATAACAGGAAACACAAAACCCAAGCTGTCAAACTAAGATGAACTATCAATCTGTGGAGCCACAACTTCTAGAGTGGGCTGTGAGAAAGTGAAGATCTTCGGGTTAGAGTAGATGTACTGAATATTTGCTTACCCACATCGGCTACAGAGCGAAAGGTAAACAAGAGCAAGTGGATTAAAGACATACATTCAACTTTGCAAGAGTAGTTAAGTCTTCAACTTTCCTAATCCCTGAACTTGTTCATCTTCTCAGGGTTACTTAAAAGATGTGGTGTTTTCCTACAAAACCTCACTAATTGTCTATTAATATCCAAGAAATTTTATAACATTCTTAAGATGTATGACTGATTAGATTGGGCTTCAAAATAATGTGTACAGAAACTTCGATTGGCATCACTGAGGACAACATAAGTACTGTAATCCGAAACCCTAACAGGGAAATTTAGGAGAAAAGATAGGTGAGCCGGAACTTACATCTAGTAGTGAAAGTGACCCACAACAAATGGCCACAGCACAAGGGTAGTCAAGACAGTCGAAAACCGAAACTGGAAGTCAACAGGATAAGACTTTGAATCCGTTACAGTACTGTGGCAAATCATGTCTGGCCAGAAGGTACTTTGTGTACTACTGGTGCATGCAAATTATTCCTGCCTCACTAACTTATTAGCGGCTCATGAAAGTTGGTGCTGTCTTAAAGACCAAAAGTTACCTATAGACATAGCCTACATTAACTTCAGCAAAGCTTTTGACAAAGTTCCTAACAACCTGCTGTTATATAAGTTAAGAAATGTTGGGGTTGGAGGCAACCTATTAATGTGGATAAAATACTTCCTAGTTAGCCATCAAAAAAGAGTACGGCTGAAATTGGAGTTGTCTTGATGAGAAATGTGCTTAACGGAGTGCCTCAGGGTACAGTTTTGGGACGAATATTATTCCTCTCGTATGTAAATGACCTTCCCAGTATCCTATCATCACCGGTTTTGCTATATGCTGACGATGTCAAGATGTGAAGAGCAATAAAAAGTAAATGTGAAAGCTTAGAGCTTCAGAATGACCTGAAGAAATTATCTGGACGGTCTCAAATTTGGCAATTGCCGACAAATACTTCTAAGTGTATTGTGACGCATATTGGTCATTAAGGTACAGATACATGCATGATGAATAACATTGAGCTATCTGTTATCCAGACACAAAATAACTTAGGAGTCATCGTCAGCCAAGACTTAAAAACTACTGCACACTGCCGTGCAATAGCCGCCGAAGGTTTTACAACCCTATGGGATCAGTACGTAGGGCCTTTAACCATAACGACAATGAAACTTTCCTGACTTTGTACACAGTATTCGTGCGTCCTAGACTTCAGTACTGCATACAAGCGGCTAGCCCCTGTTTAAAAAAAAGACATTGAGCTTTTGGAAAAGGTTCAGAGAACAGTAACTAAGCTGATTCCCGGAATAGCGAAGCTTCCGTATCATTTTCGACTGGCTAAACTAAACCTATTCCCATCGTCATATCGAAGGACCAGAGGTGACTTGATTACAATCTTCAAATTACTTAAAGAGAAATTCGGATCTGATATAGCCCTAATTTTTCGTGACTTCCAAAATACAGAGCTTACGAGGACACTCCAAAAAAGTTCACAAGCCCAGAACAAATTACTTGAGCATCGACTTTCCCATTGAATCATCAACGAGTGGAATTCATTACCTCAACACGTGGTTGAAGCTTCATCTGTCGACACTTTCAAAAGAAAGTTGAACCAACTGAGACCACTACCAGGACTAACACAGGCCATCTAGCCTACTGTCCTTTCCAAACTGAAACCGAATGAGGAAGGCTGTAAAAGAGAACAAAAGAAAGAAGCATGGACTTATTTCAGTCACTTATATAATTGGGTAACTCATCCATATATACCCTGGACAGTCCCAAATACGAAGCATGACAATACCTGGATAGGCCAGGATATTCGACATTTACTAATACGAAAGAAATGTCAGAACGTTTCCATCAGCCTTGACACAGTAAGTACTATGGGACGAAATAAGTTTATAATTAAAATCCACGATGCTCAGTGGAAATATAAGGTTGGCGCAATCTGTAATCAAGCACTCTAAGAGACTATTTTCATGCACAAATCACAGAACAAGGATGCAGCATTGGATTCCCAACCCAATTAAGGAAGCGGGTCTAAAATCATAGAGGATGATCAGGAAAAAGCAGAGGCTATGGTAAACTATTTCGGGGCAGTTTTCACTCAGGAGCCTCTTCTGGGGGGAAAAATAGACCCAAATACAAAGTCAACAAACTGCCTACTCACCGTGGACTTTGATCAAGACGAAGTACTTAAAGCGCTCAGCACTTTAGACACGGAAAAATCAACAGGACCGGATGAACTATATATCAAAGTCCTGAGACTAATTGCATAATATATTGCAGCTCCATTGACTATAATATACAATATTGTCACCTGACCAAGCTGAGTTACCTACGGACTGGAAGGAAGCAATTGTCACCCCGATACATAAAACAGGATCAAGACAACTTCCATCAAATTACAGACCTGACAGCTTCACCAATGTCGTGGTTCAAACACTGGAAAGATTAATCGAAAAGGCCATAATGACATTCATGGAAACCAACAATTTGGTAAACAGTGAACATGGTTAACCTTGTACAACAAATCTCCTTACAGCAAGAGAACATTACATAGACACCCTGAAAAATGGTAAACTAGATGTTGTTTACATAAACTTCAGCACAGCATTTGATAGGGTACCAACAAATAGACTACTATCAAAGCTGGAAAACAGTCATTGCCCGACGTCTTCTTAAATGGACCAATGATTTCCTGGCAGGTCGTAGACAGAGAGTAAGAACAAATTCCAAGTGCTCCACCTGGAAACCAGTACTTAGTGGGGTACCGCAAGGTTTTGTTCTAGGTCCTATATTTTTTATATAGTATATAAATGAACTCTCAAGTATGGTTGAGTCCCCAATGCTACTTACTATACGCTGCTGGTGTAAATATCTGGCGAGAAATAACATGCATGTGCACTTCAGATGGACTTTCATATTTTGATTAGCTGGTCTAAAAAGTTGCTGATGTCTATCAACATTGCCAAGTGTGTCTACATGCACTTTAGGAATACAAAGATAAATAGGTACAGCATAAGGGAAGTGCCCGTATCCGTGATATGGTCTCACAAATATCTTGGGGTGACAGTGAGTCGTGATCTTAAGACCAAGGCCAACTGCCGAGAGGTTTCATCTAAGAGGTTTAGAATCCTCTGGGCTCTAAAACGGACACTCACCAAGTTAGATACTACCATGTTCACCACAGTATACACAATCTTAGTGAGAATTAAGCTTGAGAACTGAGTTCAGGCTGCAAACCCCTGTCTAGGAGGTGACTCAGATATCCTGGAAAGCGTACGGAGAGCAGCTACCTATGCAATTCCAGAACTCCAGGGTTTATCGTACAAAGAGTGGCTTGAAAATCTAGACCTCCTTGTCTGATTTTGATGTATAGAATGCCAAACAAATTTGGACCAAATATATATTCTTCTCTACCGACTAGATCGGGAAATCACAGAGGACATAGCAGGCGAGTAGAAATGCCAAGGACGAACAAAATACCCATGGCATATGTTTTCATACTTAGTCATCAATACTTGGAACATGCTACCCGAAGCGGCAGTGTCCGCATCTTCAATCGGCTCATTCAAGAGAAGACTAGACGCTCACAGAAGCATACTAGTAAAGGAATAATATAGACCCTAGGTTTTCTATTCTTACTACACAAATCTGAATCCGAAATCTGAAAAATGGATCGACCACACAGCATGTACACACAATGTACTCACATTTATCACAAGAAAAAAACAATTGCCAAAATCGACAGCTTTCGATCAAGACAATCTTGAGAACGTAACCCGCAGCAGGTAGCATAAAACCCACTTCGATCCCTAGGCCAGCGCGGAACTTTGAACTTAGCCCCTTAAGTATGTCTTTTCAGTAACTGCCCTTTAAGGTCAAATTTGCTCAATATCCAATATCTTTTTAGCGGCCTAATATAGACCGACCAATTTTTTATAACTCACTTCTTGTTGTAAAAGTACGGTTCTGGGTGCTCGATATCATCTTCGGTGTCGGTTTTTGACTCCATTATGATCGGACGACAATGGCGTTAATAAAATATATATATCCTACACAACAGCCTGTCGTTTGCCGATTAACAACGTTTACGGAATGTAGAAAAAATCCGAATACTCGTTGTATTTAGGTCATGAATATTCCAGGCATTCTTGGCGAATAAGTAAATCTAATGGATCCAGAAGGAACTGTAATAATCTATTTGGTGAATATATGTTTAAGATGAATAATATGTGAATATGCATGTAAGAACTTTCGTCTAAATTTGAACGAATAGTTTCATAATATTTGGGCCACGAGTCAATGTAAGACAATAAAGGGGAAAAATGTGGCTGTAAAATCTCAGCGAAAGAATTTGAAGTAAATCCAACGTTTCGCCTGGCAATCTGGTCCAAGCTTTTTCAAGGAAAATTTAATCAATATGATCAATAATTATTTCACTGAGATTTTACAAATACTTTCTTCCTCCATGACGACTATAGTTTGGATGACAGAGATACTTGAGGTGAGAACGGCTAAAAAATATTGAAAACTATCAGTGAACAATTAACAAATATGTTGCGGTATACAAATCCCAGTAGAGGTAAATAAGTCCTCCAAAATAAAGCTCCATAAGTTTTCTGCACTAATGCTGACCTTGAAGATGCCACAGGTATTTTTAATTTGACAACACCTTCTAGTATAAGTGAAACCAGAAGACAGAAGCGAGAAGGTTCGAGGACATATTTGACAGGTTATCAATATATCGAGGACCGACTGGTCTAGACTGGCTTGCTAGGGTATGTTGAACATTGCGCTCCGACTAGTGACCTTGTGCGGATACAGATCACTTTCTCTCTAGTGGGGAAGCTACGACCCTAAGACGTGGCCAGCCAGAAGAATAAACCAAGCGAGTTTGTCACTGGTAAACACTCTTCTGATAGCGTGCCATGTTTAGCAGCGTCTAGTCATCTTTCCTTACTGTAAGGGACCATGTAGTACAAAATATTATTAAATAAACAGAGTACAATGAAAATTTAGATTCATTGTTCTTTTCTGGCTTTTCTAGCCATCCTGGAAAGGAAAAAAGGATATGTAAGTGCATGTTGAAGTACACTTGAACGTGCGTAGAAATAAAATGGGCAAAAGAAGGATAATAAAATAATGCACATGCGACAGCGTAAAAATAGATATTTACTGAATCATTTTTTGTTGTTTTTTAATATACTTATGAAGGCGAGCATATTAGTAAAAATTTTGTTTCTTTCGGAATAAATATATAAATATAAGCATATTGAACCTGATTTTTTATATTATATATAATACAAAGGAAAACTGAGATGGAAACAAAATGTTAACTAATGTCTTACGTGCGGTAATCCTTCGAATGCTCTGAAAAACTTAATTTCTTCCAGAACCCGTTGTTTTTTGTCTGTTTTCAGATACTCCCAAAGTATCATCGTGAGTGCTGGATATCGGATGGGGTATCGTAGGAACAGGAGTTGAGTATTCGATTGTGTTGATTTGGCTTTCGGAGAACTTCAACGGAGCCTCCAGAGGCCCAAAAGGAGCCGAAGAGTCCCAGCCAATCAGAGCACAGTTGAGCATTCTACAATTCCAACGTGGCGTGCTACTATTGGTCAGTAGCATAATATGTCGTTAACGGATTGGCCGAAATATGATGTTAATTTAACAAACGCTAACATCTATAAATACCCATGTTTTCTGTACAAAAACGAATCTTGGAACAAAGTATTTCTCTCATACTTTGCGTCTTCTCTCTGGTGTTCAGGTCGCTGTGTAGTTCTAGCATGCGGGTTTCCAGAATAGCTTAGGAAACGAATATAGCGTTCAATTCGTAAGACTTATCAGTGGCGACGGGAAAAACTACAATGAATATTTCTTTGGAGCAGCTAGAAGCTTATACTGAGCGTCAAGAAAAGAGGTTTGAAGAGTCCCAAATCAGAATCGTGGAAGCCCTGATGCAAAAATTCTACCTGTTCCCGTAAAACCCTACTTTTGGTGAATCACAAGTATCTCACACTGATCCAGTCATTAACGCCATCCATGAATTTAATTTTGATGGTGTAGCAGGTGTAACTTTTGAGTCTTTGTTTAAAAAGTATGAAGATTTGTTCTATATTGATCTTTGCAAACTGGATGACCCATCAAAAGTCAGAATACTCCTGAGAAAACTTGGAACTATGGAACATGAATGCAACAGCAACTTCATTCTTCCGAAGAATTCACGAGACTTTAGTTTTGATGAAACGGTTAAAACCCTGGCTCAAATCTTTGAAGAACTATCATCTATTTAATATCCGTTACCAGTTTTTAAAGTTAACGAAAGAATCAGGAGATGACTGGGTGAAACATGCAGGAATTGTGAACCGAGAATGTGAGTGGTTCAAACTGTCCTTCATATCTGAAGACCAGTTTGAATGCTAGTATTTACCTGCAGCCTTCGTTCACCCGAGGATGCTGATATCCGAACCAGAATCCTAAGCAAACTCGAACACTGCCCTAACATGACCCTGCAGGAAGTAACTACCGAGTGCCAAAAATCAGTGAACTTGAAGCATGATACCTCAATGGTAGAGAACAGTAACTGTTTCGCTAACGTCAATGCAGTCAAGAGAAAAGACTCTCACGGTTCCAGCACGCATAATTATCATAATAACAGCGCCGAACCATCAGCTCCATGCTGGGAATGCGGAGGTTGACACTTTAAGACGTTCTGCCCATGTAAAGAACATTGTTGTAGCAAATGTCATCGGAAGGGGCATAAAAAAACCTCTGCAGGAAAAGAAACCACAAACGACATTCCTTGAAACCTTACTCAAAGAAATACAGGTATAGTGCTCTAACTAACAAAGTATTGGTATCACATAATCGGGCACAAATTTATCGCCAAAGAAAGTATGTAAACTTAAATATAAATAAAAAGCGCACCCGACTGCAGCCCCACGTCACACTTATTAGTCGAAAAACCTGGAAGTTTATCGGAAAACCCCAGGTGCTCTCAACAACCCAGTTAGCTCATAATGCATCTGGAGGGAAACTAAATATTGTTGGAGAAGTCTCCTGTACAGTTTCGAAAGGAAAAACGAAGACCAATGCAACTTTATATCTCACAGAGAACCCAGGACTAGATTTATTGAGTCTAGACTTAATAGACACACTACAATTAGCAAATCACCCCACATATGCAGCGCAGTGAGAATCAATAAACCAGCGGAAAAGGATCTGAAGGGGGTTGTATTAGAAAGATATAGCCAAGTGTTTAAAACAGGATTGGGGGAACGCACAAAGACCAAAGCATCGTTAGCTTTAAAGCCTGCAGCTACTCCCGTTTTTCGACCTAGAAGACCCGTACCATATGCTGCTCTCCCAGTGGTTGAACAAGAGGTAGAACGACTTCAGAAACTAGGTGTCACTGAACCAGTGAATTTCTCAGAATGGGCCGCACCGATAGTAGTAGTAAAGAAGACTAATGGTAGCGTTCGTTTATGTACCGATTACTCAACTGGGTTAAATGAAGCCTTAGAAACTCATCACTATCCATTACCCTTACCTGAAGATCTTTTTGCTAAACTGAACGGAGGTAAGCTTTTCGCAAAGTTCGATTTATCCGAAGCTCATTTATAAATCCCTGTTGCAGACGAGTCTAAAACCCTGCTCACCATAAACACACACGAGGGTCTATTCCGGTATAATCGACTACCCTTCTGAATCAGGACGGCGCCATCCATATTTCAGCAAATAATGGATACTATGCTACAGGATGTTACAGCTGCTGCAGCCTATCCAGATGATATAATAATTATGGGAGTAGATAGAATAGATTTAGAAAAGAAGCTCGACTAGATGCCGGTGCGAATAGCTGAATATGGACTTCGACTTCATCCAGAGAAATGTGACTTCTGTATGCAAAAAGTACGCTACCTTGGGTTTATAATTGACAAAGATGGCAGAAGACCAGATCCGGAGAAAACCCAGGCAGTGAAAACTATGCCCAGATCGACGGAGGTCCTCGCACTACGATCTTTTTCGGGACTAGCCATTATGGAGCATTTATTCCGAACCTTCATTAATTACGTGCCCTCTTAAATAACCTTCTGTCGAAGAATGTAAAATGGAATTGGTCTGCAACTTGCCAAGCTGCTTTCGATGAAATCAAGAAAGTACTAGTCTCGGATCTGCTGCTCACCCATTGCGATTCATCTTTACCCATTGTAGTAGCATCAAACGCTTCAAACTACGGCATTGGAGCAATTATTTCTCACATCATGCCAGATGGATCTGAGAAGGCGATATCACATGCAGCCAGATCGTTAACGTCAGCAGAACATAACTACAGTCAGATCGAGAAGGAAGCATTGTCGATTATCTTCGCTGTAAAGAAATTTCACGAGATGATATCTAGGCGTCAGTTCACACTATAAACTGAGCATAAACCATTACTAGTCATTTTTGGGTCAAAGAAAGGAATCCCTGTTCATACAGCTAATCGACTCCAACGATGGACAACCACACTTCTGTGTTACGACTTCAAGATCAAGTATCAGTCTACTACTGCCTTCGGGCAAGCTGATGCATTGTCAAGATTAATAGGCTCCCAATCAAAAACCACAGGGGAGACTCTTGCAGCAAATATAAAAGCTGAGAAAGAAGTTCATCGCGCATTGAATGATGCAATCAATGGACTCTCAGTAACCTTTGCTTTGAAAATGTCAAGAAGATCACTGAAAGTGATAGGACATTGAGCACAGTTAAATGCTATCTCTCGACAAAATGGCCAAACAATCGCCTTGACGGAGAACGTTTACAATATCTTCGTCGACGGGACTCACTAGTGGTTTTTGACTCGTGTATT